TTTCCTTGCTGGCACTATAACCCATAACTATTTACATGGTGTTTTTGTGGTGCCTGGCTTTGAAGCATCTGGCATCAAATACCACAATACCAGCAAGGTGATGGGCAGAGGATAACTGCCAAGGAACATACTGTGTGGGAAATTCTACCCAGGGTAGAACAGACCCTGGTCCCATCATCTGTTACACAACATGGTCTCCTGCTGGTACTCACATAGGACTTCTTTTTTTTTTTTTAATGGAAAATGTGAATGTCATCAGGTTATAAAGTAAAAGTTTGAGAGATTTATTTCCTTGGGTGAATGATCTTCTAGATGTTAGAGTACATGAATAAGAATATGGGAAGACAAATGTTGGGCTCTGGGGAGAGCGGAAAATTTTGGAAGGATTGGCTGAACAGTGGACATTATTCAGCATTATTAACTCATTATTTGCTGAGTTTAGGGAGGTTTCATGAGTAACTATTGTAACAATATTCTGAAGTGCTCAAGTGTGAGTAGCCATGGTAGGATAGGAAAACTAATAATGTAAAAGTAATTAAACTAATCTGGATTATGGAATCTGGATTACAAAAGGCAAGGTTTTGGAGAACTCTTAGAAATAGGTGTGTTAATAGAAGATTAAAAAAAATACTAGTTCCATTTTGGGCATTGAGTCATACCTTTGAAACTTTATAATTAACTTTCCCAAACAATAGAAAACACTCATTTTTTACATGAAACTGTTAGAAGAACTTTTTGATGCTCCAGGATCCCACTTGATCCATGTAAATGCTTGCCATGGCTTACTGCTCACTGTCCATGTATTGCAAGACAAAGCTGCTGGGTAGCATCAGAATACAATTTCTCTGTGTTTTGGGATCTTTTTGTCAGGTTTGGAGACAAACAATAGAGCTGTCAAAGATAGGTGCAAAAGTAGGTTAGCTCCTGTGAAAATGTTTGTAGCTTCAGGCATTTATTTTTGAATGGTAGCTTGTATAAGTCTAAAACTTTACAGATTCGGAAGGTAGAACTATCTAACAGGGTTTTATATTTTTCCAGTTTTCTTTTTCTCCTCATGTGAACTGCGATATGTTCTTAGTCTCTTTCTGCAGCTCTCTTCACTGTTTTGCAAAAATTGTCCACCCTTTTGTCCTCTTCTTCGTTCCCATGTTTCTACTACCCTCACACTGCAAGCACACACTGCCTGGTTTTGCTCCTTAGAGCTGAACAAGAGTTTGAATGTCTGGGTGTGTGACAATGACTCTTGCATTGGTGGCTGCCGAGCCATCGAAGGAGCCAAAATGTGCCCATACTTCGAACCTGAGAGTTTCTTAAACACCTTAAGCTCTCACAGAGGCAGAAGTGTCTGATTCAAAATGGTAGAGTATTTGACTTCAACGCCTCTGCAATCCAGTCTTGAAATGGAGGTTTGTATATATTGATAGATACAGATATAAAAAAGCAGTAGGTCTAGTTTCTTCCAGTTAACAAAGTAGTTTTGTCCACCACCTCACTCACTGCTTTCTGGGTTGCCCTGCTGAGGTCCAGCTTCTCTCAGTTGATTGTACTGTGCCTAAGCTAATCAGCCAAAGCTGCTGTGTGACACCTGACACCAGCTTTCCATCCTCTAGCAATTCTGTTCCTGCTGGTCCTTTCTCCATCCTTTGAACTCCTGGATCTTCCATTTTTTATTAACTCAATGGTCAGTCTTCATGTCTGGGATGTTAACAAACAAAAGGTTAAGAGTTCGTATTGTATTGCCTATGTTGAATCTTTTTTGTCTGGCCACCTGTCCATCCACAGATAATGGAAAAGTAATATTGTTATTCTTCCTCTAAAAATTAGGTTTGCATAAAATGTTGTTGATTATTCTTACTGAAATATGGTGTCTTTCACAGTTTTCTTTACAGGGGCTTGTTTAGGGTGCATAAGTCTTCAGAGTAATGCTGCTTTGCCTGTTTTTTCCCTCTTATGATAAACACATATATTTAATTGAAAATAATGAAAGGTCTTCTTAGGTTGAGCTTGTAAGAGCAATTTTCATTCAGTGGTGTAAATAGCTTGAGAGGAATGTGGTCAGTCCTGTCTCTTTCACATAGCTCTAGAGGGGCTGGGTAAGAAGGACTCATTGAAGAGGGAGGCTGGAAGAAACACCTGGGAACTCAAGTCGAGTGACCTGTGCTTACATCCTTTTATCAGCTGACTTTCGGTTCTTACCCAAAGTGGTACTGTTTTAATGGATGAACAAACTATATCTGGAATTACTCTTTCACCAACCATCCCTCCTTGTATTGGGTTCTGTATCTGTGTTCTGCCAAGAGAAAGAAGATCTGGGATTTGTGTACCAAAGAGGCCATTGCATGAGAAGGATGTCAGGGCAGGGGAGAGACTTGGAATTTCAGATGCTTTTAAATAAGGAACCAAAGCTTAGGAAATACCTTCTCATTTTGCTCTGGAGGTCTCTGTGGTCAAAGAAACCAACCAGGGCAGTATCAAGAGTCATAGAATCATAGAACTATTCAGGTTGGAAAAGACCCTTGGGATCACCAAGTCCAACCATCATCGCTAATCTACAAAGTTCTCCCTTAAACCATATCCACCACCACCACATCCAGACAACCCTTAAACACATCAGGGATGGTGACTGAGCCACCTCCCTGGGCAGCCTGTTCCAGTGTCTAACAACTCTTTCTGTGAAAAATTTTTTCCTAATGTCCAGTCTAAACCTACCCTGTTGCAGCTTGAAGCCGTTCCCTCTTGTTCTGTCACTAATTACCTGTGAGAAGAGACCAGCACCAACCTCTCAGGTAGTTATACTGACTGATGAGGTCTCCCCTCAGCCTTCTCTTTCTCAAACGAAACATTCCCACCTCCTTCAAGCGTTCTTCATAAGATTTTTTCTCTAGGCCCTTCACCAGTTTAGTTGCCCTCCTCAGTACTCGCTCCAGCACCTCGATGTCTCTCTTGAATTGAGGTGCCCAAAAGTGGACACAATACTCCAGGTGTGGCCTCTCCAGTGCTGAGTACAGGGGGACAGTCACCTCTGTAACAAAAAAGAGTATGTTAAAAAGTGTCTAAACAAAAAGAGTTTTAAAATACCTTGAGGATGGTCAGAGCAAGCACCCCACATGGAAACTGTTGATGCAATGTGATGAGGTTGTTAAGACGGGCTTGCCAAGTCAAATGGGGAAACTGCTATATTTGTCCAGTGCTCTGCACCAACTGTTTCTGGCAAGGGTGTGTATGTAAGACAGTTTGGTGGCAAATCTGAGCTTGTTTTGTAGCACTTTGTCATTGGCAAGAGCATGCAACCTGCCATCTGCCCTGTACCTTGTGCCCATCCAGCTCGCAGCAGCTGCCAGATTCCAGGCACCCAACACTGCGGCTGCCCAGGGGCGATGAACGCTGGTGCTTTGTGCTTGGCTGAGGACTGAAAGATTAGGCTAAGCTGCTGCTGGTGCAGCTCTGAGCTGTGGTCACCTCAGAGCCTGGATTGTTGGATTCTCCTTGCAGCAACTGTTTTCCATCCCTGTCTGACATCAAAACTGCAGCACAGCCCAGATGGTACACAGAAGGTACCAACTCAAGGAGCTCAAATGTTGCTGACAGCCCTGCTGGCATGCCTGTACAGCATCCAATTTCCTTGCAGAGGCATCCATGGCCGTTTCAGCTGGACTTTTCAGGGCTCTTTGAACTTTGCGATGATATTCTTACTTAGGAATTTTCTTTGGAAAAAAGCAAAGCATTTATTGACTTTTGAAGAGACGTATGGAGGGAGGTGCTGCCTACGACAAAGCAAGTATTGCGTCACTGGTTCATGTAATTAAAATAGTTTCTTGCAAGCAGCTCGTGATTCGTAAGAGATAATAAATAACTGAGGAATGATTGTGCCTGACAAAGGAAACGGTTGTTGCAGAGATGCTGCTTTGTTGTCCTGGTTGTGATTAGCTGCTTTCAGAAGAGGAGGTAAAAAATCATTTTTGACACACCAAAGGAAGAGACATACGGACCTCACACAGTTTCCCTTCCTCAGTTTTGGTGCATGCTCAGCTGTGGGATCAAGGTGGGATCAAATGCCAAGAGCATTGAACATATAGACAATGAGGGCTGGTGATAGAAATCACAAGGAAGTCTTGCTTACAAACATGGCAAAAATGAAGTCGTATAACAGTTGCATTATGAAAACACAAAATCCAGTTTTGCTGTACTAATCTTCTCTTCTGATAGGTTGCAAAACAGAATCTGGGGCATACATATTGCTTAGCTTTAAATAAAAGGTATGAGGGTGGGATTTTCCAAAAATTGACACTTTGCCCAAGTCTGATCTTGTTGAAGTAAAGGGATATTTATCAACAGTGTTCTGCAAGTCCCATAGATAAGTACATTTTAAAATCGAACACTGTTCCTGGTAACATCTTGCATGCAAAATTAATTTTACTGAAAGTAAGTGCGATAAATAAAGAGGAAATTTTGCAGATTAATGTTTTATGTTTAATGGGGAAATGGTAGTTCATTTTTAGCAGCTCACTAAGAAGTGTCTTGCAGTGTTGTTTACACAAATAATTAGAAACCTTCATAAACTTCACAAAAGTAGTTGGAAGTCTGTGGCAGCCTGTGATAAATTGCTGAAGTATCAGGTAATCTGGCCATTTTGGGAGAAAGTGTAGCCTGATGAGATGAGAGTAGCAACCCTGTATGGTAATAGTGAGAATAATGACACAGCCCTTTGTCCTGACGTTAATCCCCGCATCACGTCTGCAAAGTAGGATCTATATTGTTGCTTTAATCCTGTTGATTTTCTTAGTCATGCGAATGCCACAGGAATGATAAATCTCGCAGCCCTTTCCTTACATTCAGCAGATTCAGTACCTTGTAATTGTGTAATTTGGCCTGAAGCAACCCCTAGGCAGTGGCTGTTCATGGGAAGCATGCAGAGGGGGCTGCAGGGATTAAGAGCAAGAAGGGGAAAGTCACCACCTGTTTCCCCCCTCCCCACCCCTCTTTTCTTTTGTCTCTCTCAGGAGAAAAACCCTACAAATGTACCTGGGAAGGCTGCACCTGGAAGTTTGCTCGCTCCGACGAACTGACGAGGCATTACCGCAAGCACACGGGAGTGAAGCCATTCAAGTGTGCAGACTGTGACCGCAGCTTTTCCCGCTCAGATCACTTGGCGCTCCACCGCCGCAGGCACATGCTGGTTTGAGAAACGCTACCTGTTCCAGCCGAGTTTAAGAGCTGGGTCTCTTAACTACACAGAGTGAATTCAGCAGGGCTGAATCCCCCTCTGCAGTGTTAACAGGCAGGGCTTTCCCTGGTGTCCATAACGAAACATAATAACAGAATCTAAAAAGCAGGAAAAGAAGTGCCACTCTTCTCCTTGCCACCTGAAGTTAACCCCGTCTGCCCCTCAGCATGGCTACCCCCTGAAAGTGTCATCACAATCACCTGGGAAATAGCAGCCGAAATGCTACAGGAATGGGCATTATTTTACATGCTGCATCCTTTGACAAAAATGTTTATAGGTTGTCTGTTTTCTCAGCTGTTGGACATTTTTGTTCTTGAAAAATCACTGCTGATTGGAGTATTAGATACCAGAAACGGATGATAATGATGATGATGATGATGAGAGCAAGATCACTAGACCTTTATTATCCCATCTTTTCCCCTTGCTTTCAGTACCACCTGACTGGTGTCAGCCTTGTGCCTGAGCTGTGCTACAGACAAGCTGTGTGAGTAGGCAAAAGGATTCTGCTGGAGAGGTCCTGCTGTTGGAGCTGAAGGGTCGCTTGAGCAGACTTTTGCAGTAATGATGGTGGCATTGTAACGGTGTACCACAATCTGTCATTATGCCCTAGCAACCATTTAACTTTTTTCTTTCACCTTTTTTTCCCTCCCCCCCTCCTTTTCTTTTGTTGTTGTTGTTGTTGAAGTCTGTAAAATAAACAAGGGGCAGCAGCATGTCTGCTGAAAGTACAATATTAAGTATCTGTATTTTACCATGGACTTATTTAGAACCATTTTCTGATTTGTATAGAAAGAGTCCATCTAAAAACAGCTATCCTATTCTCAACGTGAAGTTTTCTTTCATGCAGGTATCCTCTTTCCCACAACCATTATTTTAACACAAGGAAATAGTCAGATCTTTCTGGTACCAAGGTTAGTGATGTAGCCATTAATGGAATCTACCAACAAAGCAAAACAGAGAAGAAACAGCTGCATATCTTGCAGAGAAAAAGCAATAATGAGTAAAATGGCTCTCAAGACAATAATTTACTCCAACAGAAGGGGGGGATATGCAGAAGTAGCACGTAAGATCATTTAAGTTAATCTATCTGATGGCCTCACTGACCTGCTAGGTACCATAATTAATTACTTCAATTTCCTTCCACATAATACTGTGTATGGAAAGCAAGAAAGATAAAGGAAAGAGCTGATGGTTGAGGAGTCAGTGGATGAACCATAACTAGGAAGGAGAAATGTTTCTGCAGTGGTGCTCTGCAAGACATGACATTTCTCCCTGGGAGTTAGGGAATAACAAGATTTTGTCAGCTGTCTAGTATGATATAAATGGCCCTTTATATGGGTACCAGTGGCTGCCTCTGCTGGGATTTTCAATCCAAGCCTTTTCAGATTAAATAAAAGAAAATTCTTGATCATTCCCATACAGCCCTATAATTGTGAACCTGTTTGTATTAAATAAATTATGTAGGAAAGAGAGAAACTCTTAGTCATCAGTTGTTCATGCAAATGGAATAGTGTTTTTCTCTTTTCTTTCCTCACAAGGATCTGCCTATTCAGCTAAATTTGACAAAGGAAAAAGCTGGGCCAGATTTTTTAAGTGTTGAGATTTTTATAGCTTAGAGATGAAAGATGTATACATGAAGGTCTTTTGCAATGAATTTAATTATGAATATCTGGTTCCAGGAATTGCACAGATTAAGCTTGTGATGCCACTTGTTAATTTTTAAATGTTTGCCCTGTCTGAATTAATTTCTGATTCCTGAAGTAACCATAGTGATGTTGGGGGGATTCTGAAATCAAGATAATATTTTGAAAAAAAACAGCATAGAGTACCCGTACAGATACTGAAAGCTAATTGAGGTTTAATATTTTGTGATATGCTTTGAATACGTTCTTAATATTGCCTAGTACTTGATAGTTTATCAGCTCTCTGAAGAGAGAACCTCAATACTGTTAAAGCTCAGGCTCCCCTCTGCTGGGTGGTCAGCAGAGAAACCCAAGACAGATTATTTACAGCCATTGTGGGGAAAATGCCTCTACGAATTCCCAGTGACTGCACTGGTAATGAACTTCCACCAAATTCAGCAACATTTTAGTATGCAGCTGCAAATCAGGAAGAAAGCAGAGGCACTAAGTGTCCATGCAATGCATGAAAAGGCTGCGAGGGATCAGGGCTTCTGGATGAGCCGTGAGGCACTGCAGGGCAGCAGAACTGGGTCTTTACCAGCAGCATTACTGCTGTTGGTTTAAAAGACTAGTTGTCAATGTTGTGCGTGAGATGGCTCATGGATTATGTCTGAGATCTGTCTTTTATGTACTTCAACATTGTACTCTTAAATGGATCTGTCATTCTCAGCATTTAGGGAAATAAGTCAGGTCAGGTATAAGTCATTTGATAAAATTATTTTCCTGCCCAAGAACATTTCACCAACTCATTAACTGAATAGCAGTAATTCAGTTGAAGAGCCAGTGACATACAGAATTCCTTTCAGAAGCTGTGATATCTTTTTTCTCCCATAGAAAATTGTTTGTTTGACCAGAAAGTCTGAAGACTATTCTGTTAGCGTACAAGAGGAGCAGTGAGAGAGGTCATCTCCAATGTTATTCACTAAAGCACAGTATAACTGGAAGAGACTCGTGTTTCCTTTTAGGCTTCCCTGTATAGTCCATGAAGAGAGAGAACCTCCAGGAGAAATTGAGAGAATTTAAGTTTCAGCATTCAGCTCTGAAATGCCCCAAGGAGAAGCATATGTGTCACAGACCCTGAGGCCAGGCTTGGTCTGTGTGAATTCCTTGTCATTCAGCTAGTTCCCCATTACTTTATGCATCAGAAACACTGCAACATAAAGGCTTAAAGCAGCACGCACACCAAGGGACACAGGCACAATGTGTGTCAATGGTAATTGAGTGAAGCCGAAAAGGTAAAAATGCGTAAGCTAAATTTTCTTATTTCACAGGCAGGAAGTATATTCCATCACATGTTCAAGGGCTTTTGTGTGGCTGTTACCTCTAGACAACTCACACAACCAGCAGTAGTCCACCACTGGGTTTCAAGTACCCAGTACGGTTCTTGGCAAAGTTTCTAATTTGTACCAGCACTCTCAGGCTTTAACCCCAAATACTCTCTAAGCTTGTTTTCTGGTTTGTTTGCCCCTTCAGAAATATTTTAAGAGAAGTTAAGTCTGTAGGAGAGGGGTGTTAGGATGTGGAGTTGATGTCCCCCAGATTCTCAGGGTGTCCCTCCCTCAGTGGCTGTAGTTCAGACCCGCCAAACTTCTGTGCTTGTGCAAAGAGCAAGGATTATTACTCCAGGGTAGTTCCCTCAAAAATCCTGGTATCCCACCACAGGTCCGTGACATTTCATAACCGTGTCGAAGGCTGACATCTTAGGTAGTGTGCAGAAGTACCAGATCTCATCTTGAAACAACACAGTAGATCCATCTTAATAGAGCAGCTGGGAGAGACAAAAATACAGTGTCCCTTTCTTTCAGAAAAACAGAGATTTATGCTTTTAAGTATGCATAAAGGATGGGTAATATCCACCGTGCCCATTGCAGCTCACAAGGGAAACTATGCCACAAAGGGTCAGACTTCACGTTTTCAGACAGATTCAATGGATTTGTCAGGAAATCTCAGTAGCCAGCATTATAGGAAAACATAACAAGCAAAAAGCTTTGATACAAAACTTTTTAAAATCTAAATTGTCATTATTTTTTGAGCACCTGTTTTATTCAGCACTGTAAAACTGACTCATTGCAACAGCAGTTTATACTAGGGGAAGAAGATGCAGTATTCCTTATTCTCTATCATGCTTACAGAATTAATTAAATAGATTTAGACTGACTTGTATATATGATTATTTGCTGGAGTAACGTATAACAAAATTAACAGTGTTGAAAATTACATCAGTGATGTTGATGTGTGGGGTAGACTCACAGTGCAGAGCATGGACAAGTAGCTGGACAACCTTTCTCCCCTTTAATAATGGGAATAACAGTGATCATAAGTCTCGTTTTCCATTAGCCGCATTGAAAATGTATTCTAGTTGCCATTTATAAAATTATCCTCTGATAATAAATGCTGTTTAATGGAAAAATCTCTTTCTCCTTTATTGAAGGTGGGTACCTCAACATCGGAGTAGGTTTCACTATTAATATCCTGCTTATTTTCTAGTTTAAACTTTGGTTTGGAAAGTCAGTTTGTGAAATTGCATCTTCCACAACAGACAAGTCTTAAGATTTTTCAGTATGTCCATCCTACTTCTGCATGCTTGTCCATACATCCATGCGTATAAACCTCAGCACTTCCACATGCCTCCACCCATGTGCATGTAATTAAAAGTTTACTTAAAAAAAAAAAAAAATCAGAATAGGAAGAATTGGAAATAAATGCTGTAATAGAAAACATTACCTTCTTAAGAAGAAACCAGCTCCTGTTGTTGTATTATGGCTGTGCCTGTGATTTATAACTGGAAGGGTACACAAAGAAATTTAAAGATTGTTATATTTTCATAGTTCTGCTATAGAGTAACAGTTGCTGTGTAATGTGTGTTTATGAAGTCATGCCCATAGGTACCTTGAAAAGGCTTAAATTCTCATATATTTCCACAGTACATCAGGTTTTAGTACAAAAAAGTAATTATAAGGATACTGCATCTTTAGAGATCAAAATACCTTCAAAGTATTTTAATATACTTGTAACAGTTTAAATATTCTGTAATATATGTGATAGTGGAGAAGTATTTTCAAGCTCACAATTTTACATGGGGTGTAAATAGGCTAAATGAAGTACATTTTTTTAAATCCTTTAGTTTTTATCTGGAAAACTGGCAAGATAATGCCTTGCAAAACTGGAACACAAAACGTAAGAAGTGAATTGTTCTGTTTTGTCAGAGCATGTTTTCTCTGCAAAATGGAGTGGCCACTTCTTTACTGTTTTGCAGATGGTATGCGGTGTAGCAAAGTCATACCGAGTCCTTTCAATGTCGAATAAGTCAACACTCAGAATGTCTTTGACTGAATAAAGGAAAAAAAAAAAATCTAATCAGAATGAAAACCATATGAAAGGTTTGGGGTTTTTTGTGTTGTGGGTTGTTTGTGTTTTTTTTTTCATTCTGGCATTTTACAGTGAAGTGCAGATAAAGTAACAGCAGACTCGTTTGGTTTTATTTCTTGTATTTCCC